CGCCCTCAATGGCGCTCGTGCATCCAAGCTATTGCCTTCAATGCATAGCTCCTTTTCCAACCCCCTCACCACTTGACAGCCCACTGACAGTGCTGGATTTATGCACCAATTTATCAGCTCCCGCTTGCAATGCGCAGCTACCTACCCCTCCCCCAAACCATCGGTGAACGAAACTGCGGCAGCTACAACCACAGTACGAAGAGTACGCGGTTATTGCAGCTGACAATGATGATGATGATGATTTCTGGCCAGTGTGAGCTTCCAACACAAACCCTCACGCTGAGTTACTTGGAGACCACCTACCACAAAACGGTAGTGGACTCAGTTGGACCATATGGCTATCAGTTACCTATGGAGAGCCTCAGTTAAGGATTGTCGTTCTTTCTGGAGTACGCAACTTGACTGATCACGCCATCATGCGAGCAGCCGCTTAGCACTTTGCTTTCCACCAGCACTACGCGTGCCGGAAGAGAGCAGATCCGTTCGTTAACTTCGACAAGTTCAGTAGGTGAAGAGTATCGAGCTGATGTGGCTAGAAAGCTACTGGAAGCGCACAGTCATGCGGTTGACGCAGATTGCTTGGTTGTTTAATAGAGGCGAGTTAAAGAAGCGACGCTGTCAGCTTTCAGCCCATCTGACTCGACTAAATTAACACTGGATGTTTTCAATCAATTGGAAAAAGTTTGGGGTTGACGCAGCTTGGTTGTTTAATAGAGGCGAGTTAAAGAAGCGACGCTGTCAGCTTTCAGCCCATCTGACTCGACTAAATTAACACTGACTGGTTTCAATCAATTGGAAAAAGTTTGGAACCGATTGAGAAGTCATCGTTTCAGAAGAGCTTGGTAAACAATCGGTAGTTTTTATTTGGGCAACGTTTCGCTTTTGACACGAAAGCTTCATCAGGCCAAGTGAACAGGTCACCAAATTGGCCAGGTTATAAGACAGACGGGGAACCAATCAGTAAGTCCTCTTCACACTAGATCATTGTTGAGTGTCCATTAACAGCTCTTGTCGGCTAGCGTGGGTGTCAAAATCTTGAATTGGTGGGTTGGAGGAGTTTCAGATTACTTCCAATCGCTTTCCGTTCCTTAATCTTCCACTTCAGGGTGCTTCACTTGACGATTCACCCCGGGTGCCACTGGTAGATCCTTGATCATCGGGGGATGTGAATGTTACGACAATTTAGTTGGGGGGAGGGGAGGTGCGTAAGGTTAAGTGGAGTTCAGGTGATGACTACTCTTCCCTCTGATGAT